TACTGAATTTTGAACCGAGTTAAAACCAAGCGGATCATAAAATTGAAACATTTTATCTTTAATTCTTGCTACCAGTAAAACCCAATGATTATTTTTTACAAGAACTGGAATGGAAAAAAAGAAATCAACAGAAGCTAAATCCTCTTTTTGCCATACAGTTTGATCTTTACTACCTGATTGAAAGAAAGGTGTATGATAACACTTGGCTGCTACTGAAGAAGAACCACAAAGACTAATAAAAAGGAAAGCATCAATAACATTGTCACTGAGCCAACCAGGCTGAAAATTTAAAGATGCAGATTTTAATGTTTGAATTTCCTCACATGGAATGTATGGATCCAGAGATTTTACATCCAAAAATGTTAGCGGTGTTTCTCCAACATATAAAATGCATTTCGAAATATCCTCATCAATAAGCTTGGGAGTAAAAGTACTTTTATTAATTGTGCACGCTAAATTAATGCCTAATAAATCTTCTTTAATGGTTTTTTTTATTCTGAATATTCAGGTAAGTTGAAATTTTACGCTTTGCACTTTTTGAAGCAGTTGTACGAAACAAAGTCTGACGGGCTAATTTTAAATTTGGGGGAACACTGACAAATGGCATTTTGTCAGGAAATTCTTTCAGATAGTTCGACTCTATTACACCTTTACAATTAGAAACAATTTCTTTCAAATTTTTTGTTATAGTAGGCAACAATATTTTTTTAACTGTTGGATTAGGCAGCATAACCTGTAATTCAGATATTAAAGTCTTACAATTATCAATTTTATGTTCTAAGTTACATGCTACTGCATTCGAAATAACAGACTTTGTACCTGTTTGTATGGCTGATGAACAGCTTTCGCTTTTATAAGTATCTGTTACGAAGAAGGATGGATCTCTTTGTCTGACTGAATGTACTTTATGAATGTGTTTACATAATGGACTGAAATCTGGACAATTACAATTATATAAATGACTACTACACAAATTAAGGCAAGATAAGCTAATACATTTAGAGTAACAGTGATCAGTTTGAGGACATAACTCATATAAGCATTTAACTGTATACTGAATATTAGAAGTCTGTGATTTTACAATCCACAACAAAAAACCAGCCCCTGTTACATCACTATCTAAAATTTTTATTCCCGAATCATGTCGCTTATTATATGTTGGTGGACAAGTACTCTGCTTGTAATTAGTTTTAATTTTATAGCTGTGAGCCATGTATGTATCCTCTTCAATTTTTAAAAGTACTTCAATTAATTTATCTAAACGCCTGTTAAATTTTCGTCTAAAATATGTAGTTTTTAATTTATTATGAAACGATTCACAATACATATTGGTATCTGTGAACGCATGAGGGAAGTTTCTATGGGCCATTGACCAAAGAATAGCACGGCTATAGTAATGTTCTTCAAAATATTGTATAAAAGATGGTGCAATAGTTCGAAACTTCTGAAGGAAATTATCCATCATCACTATGAATCGAGCAGAATTGGTTTCTTCAAGTAATACTACCATATTAAAATAGATTTCATCTTTAAGTTTTTGATTAGAAACCATTCGGCACAAATTACGTTGCCAAGCACGATGCACATGCCATTTACATAACAAATGTGTAATACCAGGACCAAATACTTTATCAAATGCAGGATGGGTAGTCTTATCATCATCTGTCATAAGACAATTGACATAAAGTTCCGGTATTACACATTTGATACTAAGGAATAAATTATACATTGTATCCTGGTCTAACTGATTTGTAATGAAATGCGCTACAGGATAACCACTACCAAACTCATCAGGAACGATTAAATTTAATAAATAAAAATCATATTGATTTGTTTTGTGAGTAGAATCAATACATAAAATCCTGGAGCAACCTTTAATCATCATATCTTTCTGCTGTTTAGTCTGCAATCCTAATGCAAAAGACTCATTTGTAGAAGAAAGTTCATCAAGCCCTTTTGGACCGTACAATGTTGGCTTTCCTTGTGGTTTATAAATAAGTACTGGATCATATGATTCTTGCCTGAGTTTTTCAACTATTGTGGCAACTGAAAGTGAATCATCACCAGGAAAGGAACATACTAACCGCTTTTTGTAAGTGTTTATCACTCTTCGTGTTACAAATACATCTTTATCATATATGCCCTCCCTATTATCCCGCAGTCCACTTCCATCTCTGATAAATTCTTGAATTTGATCCGTGGATACACCTAACTGTGCATAAGCTTTAATTTTGTTACGGCAACTCTGACTAAGTTGGTGGAACCTGCTATTTTCAAAAGACAATTCATGATTATGATTCGAATAAAATATGGCTGTGACAAGGTGCGATTCTTCACAAACTAAAATTTTTGACGGACACTTAAAGTTGGAAGGTAAAGTATCTTTTAGATTTTTTCTACTGGAAACAGGAACTTTCTTTTTATGCATTACATTAAATTGACAACAGTAATAATGAAAAGTTTTATCATTCCTACATCTACTTCCAGCAGACTTTTTATAAGAACTGAATGTCTGCTTACTATGCGATTCTAACCAGAATTGAAATTCTCCTATTGATGAAAATGTAAGTTCTTGCATAGCCATCTCATAATCATGATATTCAGCCAAATGTTTATTACATTCATTATCAGAACAAAATATTTCCTTACAATCAGGAATAACACATGGCTTAGAATTATTAGATGTAGGATTTTTAATACTACAGATCTTTTTATGATGAAAAAGGTTACTGCGGCTTTTACAATCTCTCTCACACACCGGTCACAAATATATGCCTTTGGAATACATTCAGCTGATGGTGCTTTGCAACATTTTTTATGATTGGAAAATGATTGTCTAGTGGAGTACGACTTCATGCAAACTTCACACACTCTGGGATATTTCATTTCTACAATACCTTTACAGTTACGTTTATGATTAGATAAGGACTGTTTAGAAGAAAAAGGTTTCTTACATTTAGGGCAAATCTTAGATTTTCCATTAGAAGCACAATTTTCTTTATCATAATTACTCACGAGTTCAATTTTATTGTTATTTTCAGATTTATTTGGACTCTTAGCACCCCCAAACTTAAAGTTTGAACATTCATTATCATCTTCAAAAAGTGAAATCGATGAAATGGTTGAAAAACAGCCGAGAGATCGAAGATCAACAACTGTAAGATCTGATGAGATGAAAGAAGCCGAGTCTGAAACAGGAGAACTAGAATAGGTGAGAACCTGAAAAGCAGAAGATTCAGAATTGAGCACAGAAGCAACAGAAAACTGAGGAACAGATGCAATGGCATCAACATTATTTGGACCAATGTTAACAGCACTTTCAAAAAATGGAAAATCTGATAAAGCAGATGAAATGGAATTAATTGCAAGCTCAGAAGCAACTGTAACAGGATACAAAGAACCAGAAAGCTGAGAAACAGATACACTTGGATCAGCAGAAAAATGAGAAACAGATGGAGTACTGGAATTCTGAGAAACTGGTGCAGTGATGTCAAGAATACTCGAAACAGTGTCGGCTATAGGCTCAAGAACTGGAAAATCCGATAACAAGAAACCACTGGGATGATTATCCAAAGACGTGTTGGTAGAACCATATTTTAAAACATCTGAATAAAGAGGTTTAGAAAGAACATCAGGAGAATCCAACAATACTGAAATACTGGGATGGTTATCCAAATCAGTCAAAACACCTGGTAATGCTAAAGCATTAGGGCGACTATCCAATGTAGTACAGACATGCGAAAGTTTCAAAACACTTGAATAAAGTGGTTTCGAAGGAACACTTGAAGGAGCACACAAAACTGAAACACTAGAATCTGATAAGCCTAAAGTATCAGGATGACTATCCAAAGTGCTGCAAACAGAAGAAACCCGTTTCAAAACACTTGAATAAAGAGGTTTAGAGTGAGTACTTGAAGTATCTGAAATGACAGAAGCACGAGGATAATTATCCAAAATCGTGATAGGTACAGAAGGATGTTTTCCTGAAACAGTGGACAAAGCTGGAAACTCAATACTAGCAGATACAGAGGAAAAAGATGTAGCACTTACCTTTGGAAGGGATTTCACACTCAAAACGCTCTTTATGTCCTTCACAAAAATTCTCCCAAGCTGTGCATTACCCTTACGGTTCAGATGCAATCCGTCTCTTGACAGACAAGTACTCCAATAGTACTCACCAGATCTGCAAAAAGAAAAAGCTTCTCGGCCTTTGAATGCTTCGAAAAGATTAGTGTTTATCCGAGCTAATTTTCTGTTCAGCTTCTTTAAACTGTACGGGTTGAAACCATTCTCGAATAAATTTCGTTCACACGCGGGAGGACACCTGAAAAGAGAATGATCTTCGGGTTTAAACGCTCAATAACATTATACAGACAATCATATTTATGATGAATATCATCCAAAGTGTCACAAGAGTTATTGGTACCAACGTGAACCAAAACTAACTCAAATTGATTGTCTATCAAGGTTATCTTGCGTGTCAACCTTTCAATCGTAGCACCCGGAAAACAATGAAAATGAACTTCATAATCCAGTAAATTCAGCAATAAATATTCTTTTAAATATTTTATCATCGAATCTCCGATTATAAGTATTTTCATTTTTCCTGTTTGCTTAGACAAAGACATAATAAAAATAATACAAATAACAAAATCAAATTAAGAATTAGCACGTGCAGAAAAAAAACACTCACCGACGAAAATCGCGGAATACGATTTCTATTTTTACTAGATTTACGTATTTGGCGCCAGGTCCAGTTTGGCGTGAAAAAGATAACCCTCCAACCAATCACAGCAAAGTACACTTTTCCGTAAACATTTGGCGTTTGGCTGTACATAATTGTTCAAACTCCGGTGGAATCTTTCTCAGATATTAAAAAAAAAAAAAAAAAAAGAAGAAGATTTAATTTTTTTTTTAAGATTTGTTGTTAGAATTTTTAAAAATAATTACGTTAAATCTTAAATAATACTTTTCTATCAGCCTAGATTTATGATCATATGTTTAAGAAACATCAATGCTGATTTTCTCAATAAAAGCAAAATCAGTATCTCCGAAAAATTGAGTTTCGAAGAAGTGGCATCAAGGTGAAATTGTGTTCTGCTATCTACAGCTACAATATTTTAGCGGTAAAGCATTTTACATTTACTCAGCGTTACTGTGTATAATTTTTTAAGGATTTTTCTCATCAGTAAACCGCAAAGATACAAATGTTAAAGGCCTAAAGTTGAACCGTAATATTCAAGTGTATTTAATAGTATTCTTTCCCTAACCTAATTTTTTATTTAATGTAAAATAATTAATTTGTAATCGAGTGTCTTAGAATGCCTAAAAGAGAGCAAGAATTCATACGCAGTTTAATAAAGTCAAAGAAGACTTCAGCATTTCATTCAGTTAATTGTATGATAAACAAGATTAAATTTCATTTTTAGAACACAATCCGATTTAAATTCTTGTATTAATCTGAAAAATACAAATTTAGTCACATGAACGAAAATACGTTTCTTCATTAAGTGAAAACTCACAAATTATCTAAATGAGTCTAAATGATTAAATATGTTAATAAACTGATATCACCAACTGAGAATACGTGTTGATTGAAATTTAATTTTGTTTATAGTTTTGGGAACTTTCATTTAAACATCTTTCAGAGGAAATCATTTATTTATTTTTGGTTTGGTTTATAGTAAGTGAAAAATTCAGATAAAATTTTACTTTAAGTTGGCAGGTATTTTTGTTAAAAGTATTTATACATAGTGTGCCATATTTTGAAGGTGTGAAATCCACCAGTGCCTAAACAGATAGAAGTGTTGATTGCTGAGATTTTTAAGCCAGGAAAACAGGTAGACTGCAGGGGTACTTTTGCAATTTTCCCACATAATTCTAAAAGCAAGCCAGTTTTTCTTATAAAATCCATGAAGGCAACCTTCTCCTTAGATAGATGGTTCTCGTGTGGCTGGCAGTGTTCAGTTAATTAAGATTGTCAAGAAGAAAAACGAAAATGTAATAAATTATTATTAGGGTAGATTAATAACAAACTTGAAATTTCAGGCATTTATTAAAAATGGGGAGATTTTAATTAAATGCTAATATAATTTAGTTTAAGTAGAGTTACACGATTTAATTCATTTAGAAATGTCGTATTTCTCTAAATTTTCTTATTTAGTTGATTATGAAATTTCAGTCTTTACAAATAATTTGTTTCCAAGAAAATTTTTTCCTTTGTTTTTATTTACATTAAGTGTAATATTAAATATTACTTTCATTAATATATTCAGTCAATGCTTATTTGAATTCTATGCTATTTATATTTGTTACATTTTTGTTAATAAACAGAGGTTATTTAAAAATGTATTTAATCTCTTTTGAATTAATTTAAATCAAGCTGTTTTAAAATTATTAAAGGTAAATCTGGAATATATTTGAATGTAAAATAGATAGCTGAAATATGTTAAAAGGAATTAAAAAAAATTATGTTATTGCAAAGTAAATCATTCTGAACATGGCATTTAAATAATACATGATTTCTAATACCTATTTATGGGAAATAACAGAATAATAATTTTATTGCAAACAAACTTGACTACAAATTCAATAAATAAATCAATTTTAATGTGAATGACTGTATGAGGTTACAGTCCACCAGCGGCTGAGTAGTAGAATCTCTGAATGCTGTTAGTTCTGACCTGTGTTTGATTTCAGGTGAATGGGCTGGCTTCATGGGCATTTTCGTTGTTCTCTCTATGTGTAACATGTATAAGAGCCAGTCTGCCATAGATAGCTCTCCATGAAGGCATCTATCCACTTAGGCAAATAGCCTTATTGTGCTTTGCCGTAATCAACTAAAACAAACCAGTTATAAGGTTATAATGTATATAAATTAGAGGATATCCTAGATCATATTTTATTAATGATAAAGTTTTATCATCAAGGATCTGGCAATCAACATTGCTAGTGACATTTTTGTAACTCTTATTTGTTCATCTCTAGCTATAGATTTTGGCTAAATATGCAGCAAATTCTATAAGGTATACTTAGTTGTCAATATACCTAGATTTTTACTTTTAATGTATTGTCATAATTTTATAAACATTTTTCAAATTGCAGGTATTATACTATCTTAAAGATGTCACTGGATATTCTGGTTCACATTTTGTTGACGATAAAGTTTTAGTACGAAGAATTTGGCAATAAAACATCACTAGTGATATTTTTATAACTCTTATCTGTGTATCTGTAGCTATAGATTCTAGCTCAATATGCAGCAAATTCTGTGACATATACTTGCTTGTCATTATTAATTAAATGTTTAGCTGCTGAAATGGGAAGGGGACAACAGTGAACTAGATTGTTGTATTATTAGATCAAAAGTATAGGATTATTGCGATATCATAGGAGGCGTTTTGTTATAGAAATGTCTTGGCATGACAAAAATTATCAAGGAAATATTATTTAGGATAACTGATAAGTGCCATTTGGAGAACTGAACAGATATAGAAGTATCTCTTTAGCATCACAAGATTTGCAGTCAAATATTTTACATTTCACTTCTCAAATCAGTACAAGATAATAGATAATTTGAAAATTTAAATATATGATTATTTTGTAAACATACTTAATTCATTAGCAAACATATTAGTTGAGTTAATGATAGAATGGGAATATTGAGTTTGCATAGTACAATATATAATCTTATTCAAAAAACAACAGCAAGACTAGGGACAGTATGGAATTACTGTACCACTGAACTACACATATATTCATGAATAAAAATATTAAATTATCCACTGTAGTTTATATCATGATGTTAAAGGCCAAATTATCACTTTGCTTATCAACATATTTAGGTACCATCTTTGTAAAATTCCTTTTTTTTTTTTTTTTTGTGTGTGTGTGTGTGTGTGTGCTGTATACTATTATTAGTTTTCAGATAGAATATGACTTGTCTCTGAAATTTTAGCTGACTCTGCATTGAATTTGTTATATATCCATGTCAACAAGTATGGTGACTGATGAAGTTAATTGAAGGCTGATTTATGAAGAAGGGATGAGCTGAAATGTTTATTCAAGTATATTGTAGTGCAGATAAATAAGTGATGAGGATGGTAAACAGTTTTTGTTGGTTTGGTAATTGATGTTGCTGTTAACGAATTTGATGTTGTTATGTATATAAACATGTGATGAGGATGCTATAAAATTTTTGTTGGTATGGTAATTCATATTTTTGCTAGTGAATTCAGTATTTTCCTGTTGATCATGAAAATTGGTGAAGATCCTGTCAAAATTATGTCTGTTATTCTAATGAAACTTTAAAGAAACTTGTTGCTGTTTATTTAGTTAGATAATCAAAAGATAAAAGATATACTATTTGACACACATAACACTGTTAAATACTGGACTGTAACTATTACCAGTGCAACTGCTGCAGTGCTCCAGAGCCTCGAGCTTAGATGGCCCTCAAGTGAGAAGAAAAAAATATATGTCTTCCTTGTAAGGGAAATTTTATTTACAAAATTGAAAATTTAAACATGCTAATGATATCTATATTTTTCACTAAGCTGAGAAATTTATGTGAATTAAAATGATGCCTGAAAATGCATCAATGATGAATCAGATTATATCAACCCCGCTACCAGATGGCACCACTATGCAGACTGGTTTAGATTAAAGGTTTTTGAGTGAAGCTAATGATTACCAGAAAATGTGTTGAAAAAGGTGGTACTCATGAGAGTGTTCTAGTAGAAACTTGAGTCAGGTGTTCTAGAAGAACATTAGATACAAAAAAGTGATTCAAAGACCAGAAAGGCAGTTTGTTTCTTATCCAAAGAGTAGATTGGTGATAACCTCTTGTCATTGGCTTCCAGCTTTTATGGATAGCAATCTGCCTGCTTCTGCCTTTGCAAAGCTGTATGCCATAGGAAAGGCTTGCCAATTTAGCTCTGCTCTGAACTTGGAATAATCAGGCTAAAAAAATTAACCGTAAAATTTTCTTAATAGTTCGAAAATAAAGATTTTTATAATCCAAATTTAAAAATAAAGTATACTGAATAATTTGTTAGTAACATTTTACCTTAATTACATTATTTACATTTCATATTATATTTTGTATTGCACAAAATAACTTTTGATATCATATTCTCTTTGACTTAACAGAATTAAACACGAATCAGAAATAATATATTATAGCACACATGAACAAGAAATTCATAAAAACTTTTTTCATTTAGTTAAAGTGTACAAAGCTATTTCAGTTATGAAAAGTATAATCGGTAATATCTCAGCAAAAAGTGGATAAGGCTGCAAGCAACTATACAGAGGGAGCCTTATTATCAACTGTTGCTCTAAGGGCCTTAAGTCTCTTGTTAGAGCCCTGATTGAATACCCATTTATTTGTCACAGTATTTTATATTGTATTGTCATTGTTTATCTATTTCAAATAAAGTCTAATATTATGCCCATTAATGCACACTTTTTTTTTATACTTTCTGATTATCGGCACTTCCTTCCCAAAAAGCCACCAACTGTTAGTGATTAAATTTTCACCAAGATCAGACATGAAAGACAACAGCCATTTTAAAAAATGGTGGCACACTAGGAATTGCATAAAACAGCTAGCAATAAACAAAATAAAAAATGTGAAAAATATCCATAATAAACATGTTTTTTGTTGCACTGTTCTACCCATATACACAGCAATCTGTTTTATCTTAAAAAAAAAAAAAAAAAAAAAAAAAAAAAACAGAGAAAACACAAATTCAGTAGTATCAGTATACAAATTTTGATCCATAAAATTTGATCCTTTATAAGTACAACTTCATGGAAAGCAAATTTATGCATTATCTACTGTTAGGTAAAATGCCATATTTCTGGGGAAAAAAAAAAAAAAAAATGCAACACTTTCCTTTTTCATCAGCTGGAAAGCTCTACATTGTGATTTAGAATCCTTGCAAGAAAAAAAAAAATTGCTCTCAGTGAAATAAAAACAAACAATAATGAATGTTGAATATGAAGGTGAAAATGTGGCCTTTGGGGGAAAGTGGCACTGGCTAACTGTGTTGTGTGCATACCTGGATTGCCATGTAAATACATTGTGGGGACATCATGAGTTCATCATGAATATATTCAAGGT